GCAAGATAGATTTGTAAATTGTTTTATATCACTCCCTTTAGATTCTTTTTTTTTTTTTTTTTTGGTCCGGTCGTGGGCCTGAACTCTGGACCTGGGCGCTATCCCTCAGTTCTTCAGCTCAAGGCTAGCGCTCTACCACTTGAGCCACCGTGCCACTTCCGGCTTTTTTTTCCTGCTTATGTGGTGCTGAGGAATCGAACCCAGGGCCTCAGGCATGCAAGGCAAGCGCTCTAGCACTGAGCCACCTTCCCAGCCCTCCCTTTAAATTCTTTACCCAACTTGACAACTCCTTTCTAATGACTACAGTGCAGTAGAAGTGATACTCTATCACTTCTGAGATGAGGTCATAAAAAGGATGACATCCACCTTCCACCTGGCTCTCTCTCTCTATTTGCTTGTCTACTTTGTGAGAAGCCGTCTGCCATATTGTGAGGATACTCAAGTAGCATGTGGAGGCCGTTCCATGGAGAGGAACTCAGCTTCCACCTAAGCCATAAAAGCCTTGCGCATGAACCACTGTGGGAGCACATCCTTTATCCCAGCCAGCCTATTGACTGCAGCCCAAATATTTTAACACCCACCCACCCACCCACACCCCCCCCCCCCCCCCACACACACACCAGTAAAGGGGGAAAGACAGAGGCAGAGCTGGATCAAAGAAGGCCAAGGCTTGTAGAAGCCAGTGCAATTCCGAAGAAAGGCATGGATAGGATTCCTGTTGGAATCTTCCCAGAACCTATGCTGCCCATGCCTTCATCTCAGACGTCCAGCCTCCAGACCTTGAGGGAATATGTGTCTGTGTTTTAAGACATTTGCTTGTCATGACAGGCACAGAAATTAACACAGAAGGGGAGGAAGAAGGCAGAGAGGAGGGAAAGGAGAACGTGGGTGGAAGAGCTAAATCTTCTAAAGGGTGAAGCTGAGAGAATTTGAAGGGAGGAAAGCTGTGGAGGTCCCAGAGTAGCTCCACTCACTGTGAAATAGAATATGGGCTCAGGGCTGGAGATGAGCCTGGGCACCACTAGGACCTCTAACAGAAGGACTGTGAGTGCCCCATCAATGGATTAGGGAGGAAATAGATGAGCTGCCATGTGAGGGCCAAGTCCAACCTAGTATCTGTTTTTTTTTAACCTAAAGCTTTATTGGAACACAAACACAACTATCGCTTTACACATCGAATCGTCTATAGATGCTTTTGTTTTGTGCTAGTAGTGGGGCTTAAAGGTAGGACTTCACTTTTTTTGCTTAACTTTTTCTGCTCAAGGCTGGTGCTCTACCTCTTGAGCCAGCCGTATGCTGGGTACTTGGAGATGAGAACTCTTGGATTTGTCTGCTTCAGGTGGCTTTGAACTGGCATCCTCAGATCTTGCCTCCTGAGTAGCTAGGAGTACAGGTGTGGCCCCCCAGTCACCGGGGCCTTTTAAGATTCCAATGATAGAGTCAGATAATTGTGACAGAGACTATCTGGCCATCAAAGCTTGCAGCTACTTTCTGGCATTTTGTAGAAAAAAACTTTGCTAACCTCTGCTATAGGATATCACCTTAATACCCATGATGCTACTGTACCCTGGCCAACTGCACTAGAGGAGTTGGACAGAAGCCAGCACTGCCCCCAGGTGACACTGCCAGGCCTGCTGTGGTGGTAGTCAGTCACTGATTCTGGTTTTATTCCCCTACATTCTCCAGCCTGGCCCAGTGTAAGCCCTTAAGCAGCTCTTCATTGGGCAAACAAATGACTGGCCTATGGACATGTGGGGGTTGGGCAATCTATATAGATCAGGCCAGGTGTTCCTGATGGACAGGTGGTCCCTGTCAATCTTTCTTCCTCCTTTCTCCCTGGGGTCATGATTTCAGAGGGTCGCCAGTGGGAAAGGTGAGGAGATGACTCCTTTCTTTTCAGGGACTGGCTCTGCAGGATAGAAGCTTCCTTTTGACTGGGTCTTCCTTGACTGTGGAGGGTCTCCTGGCTTTGGGGAGCTTGCTCCTCTCAGGAAGGAAGGATGGAAAGCCAGGATCTCACCTTTACAGTTAGGAGGAGCTTCTTACATAGTCTGGGAGGGTTCAACTCATGCTCCCCGGGAATGAGCGGATGTGAAGAGGAGGCCCAGCCCCTTGCTGTGAGACACAAGGCAATCTTGGAATACTACAAGAACCTTGGAGCCTAGATACTTGGCCTGGCCCCAGCTCTGGTGCATGCTGGCTCTGTGGCTTGGCTTCACTGAGCCTCAGCCTCCTCAAAGAGTGACCTTGGACGGCCAACATCACCAGTTGAGGCTTTTGAGAGCATAGGTTCCTGTCCTTGTCTTTGAGCTCATGTCACAGTCTTGCATGCGAGAAGCCAAATGCTGCATTTTTAGAAGCTCCCTGCATGACAGTGGACAGGAAGCAATGCCCACCAGCCCCTTGTGGAACCTTCTGCCAATATTAAGTGAGACCAATGAGAATTCATTCCTCCTTTGCCACTATTGGAATGTAGAAGATATTGCTATTTCTAGTCCCGTCACCGTTGTTGAGAGCCTTTGCACAGGAGAAGGGGATAGAAAATGGGGAAGGGGGAGCAGACATCAGCCAACAGCAACATGCATGGGGTCTCCTGTGGGGGCAGAAAGGGGTGGGGATGCCAGTGGCGCACTCTGGCCTACCTGACATTGCGACTGCCCTTGTGCATGGAGAAAAGCCCTGCCACGCACAATGACCACCAGGGAGCTCTCCCGCCAACAACAATTACTCTGCAGGCGAATCTGTGAAGGGTGTCAGGTCTACAAGGGGCCTTATGGAAGTTCTCATTCTGCTCTTTCATGTTACAGATGAAGAAACTGAGGTCCAGAGAGGGAAGTGACCTGTTTGAGGTCTTCCTGTGCAACGGTGCCCAATCTGGGCAGAGAGCGAGAGTGAGAGACAGAGACAGAGACAGACAGAGACAGAGACAGAGAGACAGAGGGACATACAGAGAGACAGAGACAGACAGAGACAGAGAGACAGAGTCCTCAAACTCCTCACCCAGCAAGTCACACAAACTCCAGCCTGTTTGCAATTTCTGCAGGTCGTCACCTTTGTACTTGCTGACACATTTGGTACTTCGTCTCCATTATTATTTGCTTAGTATTTTTCCAGGATAGACTTCTTTTGGTTCGTTTTGCTCAAATACATTTAGTTTAAAATAAATGTATGACCACCACTGGATAATAAACAGCACTATTGGTCATCATAGAGCGCCAGTGCAGAAATAATTACCGAACTAGTGATGTAATGCTTTGTGTGTATTGCTACCTCTCCTGCCCTCCTGCCATCTTGAAAGTATAAATGGGGATCTTCTCCATGCTTCAGGGATGCTGAATTCCAGCAGAGTGGGAGATGGAGACGTAGACTACATTCAGGAATAACCCAGAGTAGATGGCTCGGGAGTTTTGGCAGGTGATTTCCCTTCTCTCCTGCGTTTGATTTACAGAGTGAGGAGCTTGCCATAAGGGCCATAGGGCATCTCCAATATTACGACTGCTAATTTGGCCAGCACTTTCTGGGGTCCAATTTGAGGCCGGCAGGAGTGCACATGGGATGTGCCAGAATATTCAGTACAGGCCTAGGAAGCCTGACTTCCTTTTGGCCATGGGTCTCATCAGGCTGGAGGATGGGAAGCTGTGCTTCCTGGGAGAGACCAGGCCAGTCCTCTCCCTTTCTGTCCTGTCCTGTGGCTCAGAGGGGAGGTATCATGGATTTTACATAGCTATAGCAAGAGAGCCCCAGACTAGAGACCCAATGAAATTGGCTCTGTGAATCCTCGATTGACTGGAAGATATTAATGAACTTGTGGAAGGTCAGCTGGGGCCCTTTCTCATTGACAGGTCCAGATCCCCAGCTTTGGGACAGATAGCCTTCCTGGGTCTGTCTCCGGCCTGTAGCCAAGCCCTATCAGGCCCTCTGGAGGAGACTGGGCTAGGCTGGGGCTCTGTTGTAAGGGAGACAATATTATCCGGGCTCCCTGAACTTCCTTTCCAGGGTGAAGGGGAAAGAGAACTGGAACCTCACATGAGCTGCTGTAGGCTCATGGACTCCTCAACTCAGTGGCCCTTGAGCTATCACCAGCACCAACATTTTTTCTTCCTTTGCTCCAGCTGTTTTGCTGGGATTGATGATGAACCCAGAGTGGACTGGAACTTTCCTGAGGTCACACAGCAGATCAGAGCAGAATAGACACCTATACCCAGGCTCCCATAGCAGCCCACCTCACTGGCCCCGTGCCGGCTTTCCTGTCTTTTAGAGTCAGCTCTACAGGGCCTGAAATGTATCTCGCCATTGTTATTTAGGGATTTCGCTTGGGGTGGCCACTGGTTTGGGGGAGAAGTTAGACTGCGGGCATCAAGTAACAACTGTGCCAACCAAGAATGTGCTGAGCACTGCAGGGTTTGGAGATAGCCAGAGCCAGGCCCTGAATGTGAGGCTATTCACTGTGTATCTTGGAGCACATTCTACCTCTCTGTCACAGATGAATTTTCTTTTTTCTTTCTGTTTTTTTTTTTTTTTTTGGCCAGTCCTGGGGCTTGAACTCAGGGCCAGAGCACTGTCTCTGAGTTTCTTTTGCTCAAGACTAGCACTCTACCACTTGAGCTACAGCTCCATTTCTGGCATTTTCTGCTTATGTGCTGCTGAGGAATCAAACCCAGGGTTTGGTGCATGCCGGGTAAGCCCTCTACCACTGAACCACATTCCCAGCCCCATAGATGAATTTTCTTAGTGGCGTGGTTGTGAGCATTTGTTCTACAAAGAAAAGATGATGCCTACCATTGCAGCCATCTTTATGAACAGTAAGTCACATTCTCAACCCCTGGCCTGGTTACAAGAACAAGGCTTGTGTTCCTGCATTTTGCAACCTACTGGAAGGTTGATCAGACAGCTAGCCCTGAACCCAGAATCCATCTGACTGCTACCACTCTCTGTTCTGTTGCCACCTTCTCTCTGCTTGAGCCCCACAGGATGAAGACAAATGGCGTGAAGTTGCTTACCTTGGGGCTGGTCCTGTGGAGGACTCACCAGGCTGGAGCTGGTGGCTGCTTTGTGCCCAGGATCCTCTCCGTCTTCTCCTGGTGGCCTGACTGTATCCCTCCTCTTCAGGGGCCTTCTGAGGATTGCCTCAATAGAGAAGGACAGGCCTAGCTTCTTTGGGTCCTCACAGAGGCCTGAGCTCTTTCTTTCCTTGGCCCCGTGGAGGGCCGGGCCTGCCGTGGCACACTCCATGGGCTGCTTCAAGGAGCGGGTCTCTGTGTGTGCCCGAGGTGACACCAGCAGAGGGTGGCTTGCTCCCTCCCCAGAGGCTCCTGGGACCCAAAGGGCACGCAGAGAAGGAGACTAGAGAGCCCCCTGCTGGCTTATCCAGGCATAATCCTATGGACACCGGGACTTCCATGGACTTCCAAAACACTAATAGGACCAAGGAAGCAGCTCCCAGAAGCAGGGCGGAGAGTTGCTGAGTCCTGTGTTTGTGCCTCTTGCTCACAGCCTTCACCAGCCAAGGTCCAAGGAGGCTCCATGCTGGGGTTCAGTGTACCAGAGCAGGGTCCATGGCTGTCAAAATAACCAGCCTAGGTCAGGATCTCCTAGGTCACTCCCCGGGGGGAAAGAGGAGAAGACAAGAAAGCACACAGTAGGCAAGATCAAGTTGGATCTCCAGAGGGTCTACCTTAGCCTTCTCTCTGGTGTGAGGCTTTTTTTCTCCTGGCTCTGGCAAACCTCCCAGAGGCTGAAGTTGTTCTTGTGGGTCCGAGGGGCCCAGCCAGGTCCTGGGCTGCACTATGACTTGAGAGGTTGTTCAAGATGTCTTCCCCACTTCCTTCAGTTCTGCTGCTTCAGCTTTCTGGAGAGTTTCTTCTAGGGTGTCTGAGCCTCTGCTCTTCTGGAGGTGGAGGTTGAGGAAGGGTGGCTGGGTCACTGCCAAGCCTTTCCCTGGTGTCTCTGGGCTGGCGCTGGCTTTCTTCTGGCTCAGATCACATGTCGAGTTCTTTCTCCTCCTGCCTTAGGGTCTCCTTTTTAAAATTTCCCTCCAAGGTCTGTCTGCTTCTCTTCTGCTTGCTCTCCCCCTTACCTGTCTCTGAGACAGTACTAAAGAAAGCCTTTCTCTCTGTCCAATAAACTGCAGGCTGGGGGGGGGGGGGTGGACAGGCATTGGTCTGTCCTACCAGGAATTCTGCTCCAAATTACTGTGTAACCAAAGAGCAAGGGGGTAGTAAATGGGTGATAAGAGAAAAACTCCCTCCTCCCCGAGGCCTGGGATGCAGGTGTTGGGATAGACAGGGGGCGGGAGGCAGCGGGGATTTCAAGATGGACATTGGATGCCGGGGATAGGTGTGGTGCCGGGGAACTGGCCAGGTTGAAACAGGAGAAGAAAAGGCGGGGACAGAATGGCCAGCCCCAATAAAATGTGTTTACTGCAGCTAAGTGAATTTATGGGGCAGGTAGAGGCTGGAGGCTGAGCCAGGGGTGCCATGGGAGAGTGTTACATGCTTTTCTTCATCTTGTAAGTATCAGCCCTTGTGGTATAGGTGGGGAAATTGAGGCCCAGGCTAGCAGGGTCCAGGGGATGGTATGTCATGTTGGACCCAAACAGTTCCCAAGGATCTTGCCACCAAAGAGCCAGTTTATACGAAAGTGAGGGTGGATGTCCTGGAAGAGACTGCAGGTGAACGTGGGAGGCTGGTCCCCACTCCCTCAGCAGGGAGAGCTAGGGGACGGAGGGACTCAGGCCTGCTTCTGTGTGCTGAGGCCCTTGGCTGCATCCGGCTCTCTGGGGTCTAGCTCTGGGAGAGGAGGACTTGCAGTGGCCTCTACAACTTCAGGGGCAACAGTCTGACGTGGCAGGGCCTTCATTCAAGAATCTTCCCCAGTCAAAGGAGAGGATTGTAGTGAGTCAGAGAGGAAGTGGGCAGTAGAACTTCTGCTCAGATTCTGGGGCCAGGGGACTCCCTTGGCACTGTCCAGATGCCAGGGCTGTGGGGCCCTCCTCTGTGCCAGAAGAAAAGGCGCCCAGGTGGAAGCAGCATGGTGATCTTCATGGTCAGGGCCAGAGCGCCACAGAAGCCAGTTCCAATGGTGGGCAGCCGAAGGGTTTGCTGTGCAGAAGGGCTTTATCTGTGTGGTGGGTAGCCAAGAAGGACAGGAACTTCCGGTGCAGCAGGAGCCCAGGCAGCAGCAGAGAGAGGTGAAGAAGAGAGAGGTGAAGAGTGCTTTTTCAAGCTGGGCACTGGTGGCTTACACCTGTCATCCTAGCTACTCAGGAGGCTGAGATCTGAGGATCGCGGTTTAAGGCCAGTCCAGGCAGAAAAGTCTGTGAGACTCTTATCTCCAATTAACCACTAGAAAATCGGAAGTGGTACTGTGGCTCAAGTGGTAGAGCGCTCGCCTTGAGCTGAAGAGCTCAGGGACAGCACCCAGGCCCAGAGTTGAATGACAGACATTAAAAAAAAAGAAAACAGAGTGCTTTTCACCTGCTGGTTGTTGTGCAGCGGCTGAGCCCTCATTGTCCCCTTGAATCCCCACTGGGAGGTCAAAGACATCACTAAAGTATCATCAACACTATTCTATAATTGAGATGAAACCAGAGAGATGGAGGGGTGGGTACGAGGCTGCACAGCTGACTAGTAGAAAGTTCTAGACCACGCCTAACTCTAAACGCCATGTTCCTCCCACTTGGATGCATCCAGCTCTCACATGTTGCAGGGCTGAATAGCAGAGGTGGAGTAGTGTTTGAGTCCCGCCAGCCGTTTTCATCATCTTGTTTGATTTCCTTTGCTTTTTGCCTCTTTGGGGGTGAGCCTCGTCCCTGCGCAGGTAAAGAAAACAGCTCAGCTGTGCGCATGGACCCAGATCCTAGCTCTCTTCCCAAGCTGTCTTTCCCAGGCGAACCACAGCCCTGGCTTTCTGACTTCTAGCCTTTTATCATTCATGCAGGTGTTCATTCCACAGGTATTTCAACACTAGGGATAAATGGAACCCAATTAATGTTGTCATTGGAGAAGCTCCTTGTGTGTGTGTGTGTGTGTGTGTGTGTGTGTGTGTGTGTATGTAAATGAAATCTTTGAAGAAAAGGAGTCAGTGAGGGTGGGCATCATCACTTACAAACTTGTTCTTGAGCTGTCTCATCAAATCCAATCTAAACGCAAGCACACAAACCCTGTGAAAGTAGGTATCTTTGCCCATTTCATAGGAAGTCACTAAGCTGAGATTTTTTTTTAAAAAAAGATGTTAATAATTTTGAATATTTATTTTCAATGATTTCCCTTTTTATTTCATTGCTGTTATTATTTCTTTAGAACGACAACAGTTGTATTGATTGTTTCTCTGCACTGAAGATCAGACACAATGGATAAGAATGTTAGCAATGTATTTGATCAGAATGATTTGTATTATAAACTGAACTGTAATGAATCAAGATTCAGTTAAATATTTGTCTATTTGGAAATGTAATTTGAAGACAGTGCAATAGATGTCTGTGACTAAAAGCATATACAATACCACTGTATCTAAATTTTTCTAAGTGTAGCATATTTATTTGTAGTTAAAGTATACAAGCTTAAGCTGAGGTTTTTTTTTTTTTGTCCATCATGGGGTCTGAATTCTGGGCCTGGGCGCTGTTCCTCAGCTCTTCAGCTCAAGGCTAGCACTCTTCCACTTGAGCTACAACGCCACTTCTGGTTTTCTGGTGGTTTATTGGAGATAAGAGTTTCACGGACTTTCTTGCCTGGGCTGGCTTTGAACCGAGACCCTCAGATCTCAGCCTCCTGAGTAGCTAGGATGACAGGCGTGAGCCACCAGCGCCCGGCTTAAGCTGAGGTTTTAAGCTCCACAGGTAGGAACGAGAAGAGCTGAGTTCTAATGCCTAGCTCTTTCTGTTGCATACTTGAGAGGCAGGATATGAATAGCATGGTGAAGAATGAATTGAGAAGAGACTTGACATGGGGTAAGTAGCTATGAATGGTGCACACACTATTCCTGATTTATTGACAGGAGTCAATCTTTAGAGGTGCTCATGAAGAAAATGCTGGAAAGGTAGAACAGAGCCATCTGCTTATTTATGCACCTACCAAATACTTTCTTTTTTCTTTAGTGCTAGTCCTCAGATTTGAACTCAGGGCCTGAGCATTGGTCCCTTAGTTTTTTATTTTTCCTCAAGGTTAGAGCTCTACTTGAACCACAACTGCACTTCTAGCTTTTGGTGGTTCATTGGAGGTAAGAGTCTCATAGACTTTTCCACCCAGGCTGGCTTTGAATCTCTATCCTCAGATCTCAGTCTCCTGAGTAGCGAGGTTTATAGGCACAAGCCACCAGCGCTCAGCTACATCACTGAATACTTTTTTTTTTATGTTGGTTGTGGGTCTTGAACTATGGGCCTGGGTACTGTCCCTCAGCTGTTCAGCTCAAGGCTAGCGCTCTACCACTTTAGCCACAGTGGCACTTCCATCACTGAATACTTTTAAACTACCCACTGTACAATGTCAGACAGTGAAGCCCACTCAGGAGAGACACTTGCATCGAAACTGACAAGGTCCCTAACCAGAGGAGCAGGCTGGCCATGAGACCAGACTGACTATAAGCTGATAACAAACTGGCAATGTACCTTAATTCATGTAACTTCCCTTCACGGTATTGGAAGATAAACAGAGGCACAACTGAATTTGAAGAGTTTGAGCGATTCATGAAATGGGCAGCTCCAAACCAGAAGGGGTTCTAAGACTCTGCTCAGGTGAGGGGGCATAAGGGACAGGCTCCTGGGAGTGGTCTAACACAATAATATTTTATGTTCTTACCACTATATTTGATTGATTATAGTGATCAAGTGGCCTTCTTTTTATCTATTCACATCATAAGTGTATTCAGTGCTTCTTCCAGTGGAGCTTAAGTTCTGTCTTTAATACAGGCAGCTTTTGTTTTTTTTACAAGAAATGGCTCAAATTTAGTTTTGCTATGTCTGTCCATCAAACAAGAAGAAGGCCGCTGATGAAGACTAAGTGGTTTTGTCTGTTTGAGATTCCTTAGGTCGGGTCTCCATTTGGATCTACTTTAACAGACATAGTGCCATCAGTAACTCAGGTGGATCTACTTTAACAGACATAATGCCATCAGTAACTCCGGCTGGGTGCAGGATGAGAGAAGAGCCTGGGGAGGAAAGGTATTTTAGCTTTTCAGGTTTGAAATAGACTCCCAGGCAAGTAGAGCTTCCGGAGCGGCCTTACCACCTACTGAGCGGCAGGCAGAGGAAGCCTGGGAGAGCCCAGAAGGAAGGGGTGAGTGACTTGTGTTGGGGTCTGAGTGGGATTCCTCTGGG